ATCAATTCCAAGATATTGCTGGTTTAGTAGTGAGATTTGATTGTATCACCAAAACTGCAGTGATCTTTTTCAGTCTCAAATATTTGCATTAATATCAATGTTTTTGGCCCTGTCTCGTTTAAGGGAAGAGTGAGATTCAAATGAATCCTACCTCCTTTTTGAATCAAGTGACCACAGATTGGTGCTGTGATAATTAATAGAAATTAAAGATTGTTGAAATGAAAATTCCTTAAATTGACAGAGTTTATCATATGTCATAATAAGATGAACCTTAATCTAAATGAACTAAAATAACATCCCTACAACCACAACTCTAAACTGCCAGCTGATTGCTGGGCTGCGGCTTGAATCCTCCATGTGAAGCCACATAAATGCCTTTATATGGAGGAGTGACTATTCAGATTCAACTCATCAATTTTCAATGTCCTTTTTTATAAAAACGTCATAAAATTACTGCTTATTCTAAGTGGAACCCTGATTCATCGCATAGCATAACATCTCTGCTTTCTCCTTCAGGGAACAAGGGTATACATTTGTAACTGAGATATTTTCATGTCATTTTTTTCAGTGCTCTATTGTATAATGGATACTGACAGATGTGTATAAGTACCTGTAGATGCCCATTTAACTGCTTCAGATATATTGATGCATCCACCATCTTCAAAGGGTTAACATGCAGCATTGTGCAGCCTATGTTTGTAAAATCTGGGATTTAAATCCTCTCCCAACATAACGTTTCAAAGGTCAGAATGTCATAAGCCCACTTGAGGCTTTCTCCACAGTTATGAAGAACATTCATTCATTCATTCATTCATTCATTCATTCATTCATTCATTCATTCGTTTTCTGGTTGGCTTAGTCCCTTTATTAATCCGGGGTCACCAATGCAGATTGAACCACCAACTTATCCAGGATGTTTTTTTTTTACGCAGTGGATGCCCTTCCTGCCTTAACCCATCTCTGGGAATCATACACACACACACACACACACACACACACACACACACACACACACACACACACACACACACACACACACACACACAGACACACACACACACACACACACACACACACACACACACACACACTCATACACTACAGACAATTTAGCCTACCCAATTTACCTATACCACATATCTTTGGACTGTGGGGGAAACCAGAGCACCCAGAGGAAACCCACGCGAACGCAGGGAGAAACTCCACACAGAAACGGCAACTGAGCCAATGTTCGAACCAGCAACCTTCTTGCTGTGAGGCGACAGCACTACCTACTGCGCCACTGCGTTGCCGTTATAAAGAACAGACCTTATCTATTTTATCGGACCTGGGATCCTTGATTTAATTATAGGAACCTCTAATTCTCCTTTATGTGAAGTTCGACGTGTGTCCTGTAAAAACATATTGGAGTTCGCCAGACGACCAATTACTCAGTTCCACAGGTGTCAGCAATCAGTCATTAGCAAAGTATATCAGCCAATGGCTGAAAAGCAAGCATTTAAATTTTTGCTTCAGAGCCTCATACTAGAGACAGAAGAGTACCTCTGCCAAGCTGATTTCGTCAAGAAAGCAGTATTCCTGCAGTGGTCAACTAGGCTCTCATGATCTTCAAGGCCACCCGTGCTCTAGGGAGCATGATGGCCATAAAGTGGACATCAAAGATTAGTGTTGTGTTTTTTTCCTTCAGGATATCTGGAGGGCCAGCTGTGACCCCTCACACTGAAGGTTTAATGTGCTCTCTGTGAGGCAGAGGATGGTAGCATGCTAGGAAAGCAAAATCTGATCAACCGGTTTCTCAGAGGTGCGTGACTCGAGATGATTAACTCTCTCTTGCCCTTTTGGGATCCCCCTAGCCCCAGGGACTATGGTGAGGTTCGTTAAGCCACTTGATTCAGTATCTATAACTTTTCTGTCCATGAAGGTTGTTGGTATGATCAGGAGGGTCCTACTGCTCATTTAATTAACAGAAAGTGCCGTATCAAAGTGGAGGATGGTCCTCTTAATAGTTTATGCCTTTGCCCTCGCTTCACTGTGCCAGGGCAAGTCGTGTACCCTAGGAGAGAGAGCACACTTAAAAGAGCGGTGACTCTTTTTCAGCATGCGTACAAGGCGTCTCTTAACCGATTCTGTACAGCAGCAGACTGGGCGACACCTAACACAGTCACAAGATTTTATAATCTTCGAGTGCAGCTAGATCCTCCTGATTACTGGGTAATCCAGGTCAATCAGGAAAAAAACTAAGCTCAGTGTCAAAAACCCTTACTGCGCCATATTCCCTGACCCAGAGATACGTGCACTTTTTCTTTTCTGCCATAAAGTCTTCCCTCTTGGGTAGCAGGTTGCCTCCGCAGCGCCATACCCCTTTTAGAACTGGCACACTTTCCCAATGTACTGTTGTATTTCTAAATTTCCTAGACTATATTAGCTAAGTAAAAGCGCATTTATGACCCCTGATCTAATTTCTTCTAAGAGCCTGTGTTGGAAGGTTGCACTGTTGGTGATGCTTGTGGGCTCACACTATGCTTGGCAAACTTCACAACAGGGCCATGTCGGGCTTAGCTGCTGTTGTGTTTTGCATATACACTCCCATATGTCTTTACAAGACACATGTTAAAGTTCCGCAGTAGGTAGTGTAGGTCGCCACTCAGCAACAAGGTCGCTGAGTCGCTGGTTCGAGCCTCGGCTCAGTTGGCATTTCTGTGTGGAGTTTGCATGATCGTCCTGTGTTCGCGTGGGTTTCCTCCCGGTGCTCCGGTTTCCCCCACAGTCCAAAGACATGCGGTACAGGTGAATTGGGTAGGCTAAATTGTCTGTAGTGTTTGAGTGTGTGTAATTGTGTGTGTGGATGTCTCCCAGAGATGGGTTGCGGCTGGAAGGGCATTCCCTGCGTAAAAACTTGCTGGATAAGTTAATGGTTCATTCCACGGTGGCGACCCCGGATTAATAAAGGGACTAAGCCGACAAGAAAATGATGAATGAATGTTAAAGTTCCCATGAAGTGGAATGTCCTGGTTACGCACATAACCCATGTTTCCTGAATAGGGAATGGAAACGTGTGTCCAGCTGTTATCTTAATGATTGGCTCTTCAGCTGGCAAAAATCTAAGTGCTTGCTTCACAGCTGCCAGCTGATATACTCTGTTAACGACTGATCGCTGACACCTGTAGAGCTGAGCTCTGCCGATTCATTTGGCTTTGGTTTTCTTACTCTTCAGAGTGATTGGTCATCTGGCGAACTCCCAAAAGTCTTTACAAGACACACGTCTCCGCATTCCCTATTCGGAGAACATAAGTTACATACATAACCAGGACAGTCTCTAAGGCTGCGTCTGAAACTGCCTACAACTCAATAGGTACTGCATTTGAATTAAAACGTACTACTCGGCAATTAGAAAAGTATGTTCTATACCAGGGGTGGCCAACCCTGTTCCTGGAGAGCTACCTTCCTACAGATTTCAGTTGCAACCCATATCAAACACACCTGAACCAATTAATTAGGACCTGAACACCACGTGATCATTACAGGCAGGTGTGTTTGATATGGTTTGCAAAAGACATCTGCAGGAAGGTGGCTCTCCAGGAACAGGGTTGGCCACCCCTGTTCTATACACTATGAATGTGAGCAGTATGAATGGAATTCGGACGTACTACATCCACCATTTTGTCATGGTCACGTGACCTAACTGCATCAGTTGCGTTGCTTCACCCCATTCATGAATTTGGGGAATCATGGGATAGCGCAGCATGCATTGGATGTGCACTCCAGAATCTCGCCGGAAGTAGTAAGTCATCCGGGTACTTCTTGCATACTGATTTTCGAATTCTATGAATTCGGACATACTACTCAGCTCACATACTGATTTTAGCCTACTGTATATTATGGAGGCATGCAGTTTCAGACGTAGCCAAAGACTAAAAGCTTGTCTGTTTGACTCAGCCTGAACAAAAGAAATGTAATCTGCCTTTTTGTAAATAATTTTTTATGTCCTTATTTTTATTTAATTTTTTATTTGCTTGTTTTTTTTTATTTACAATTGAATTGTGTTTATTATTATTATTTTTATTATAATTTTTCAGGTGGGGGTCAGGAATTAAATAACATGAATGATGGATTATATCTTATTACTTAATATAAATTTCTAAAATGTTTTTGCACACACACAAAAAAAGTATTATATATGCATGTACAGTATGATGCAGATCACACATGCATATACCTGTAGTTCCAGAGAGCTCAGAATTACAGTCAAATTTCTCTCAGGTGTTTATAGACCAGCCCACAGCTGCTAATTAGGCATATTTGTATATATCTATATTCACTGTAAAAAATGCAGGGTTCCAAACAATTCATTCATGTCATCCCAACATAAATCAACGAAGTTAATTTAACACTTTTTACAAATGTATGTGGATTGTCTGGATGAAATCTTATGAATTGTGTTGTTTCAGCTCATTTTAAATAAGAATTTTGAACAAGTAAACATTTTTTTTCAAACATGCTAGATATTTCTTATTGTGTAATCCACATTCGTTTCATTTGTATCTCCAAGCAACATGATGTTTTTCTTTTTTTAAATGGGCTTACTATTTTTATGTGAGCTGTAAGTTTTTTACTTTTTTAATCATCTGACAAGATATTACTTTTCAATTGGAAAAACAACGACAAAAAAGTAAATAAAAATATTAAACTTTTAATCCAGGGTGGGAAAACAGAATTAATAGAACTAAAAGTCAGAATTGTGAGATGTAATCTTAAAACTACGGATACAGGTTGTGTAGTTTTCTCCAGGTATAACATACCTTCTTGCACAAGTCTAAACTAAAAAAAAAGCAGTTTGTCTTACATTTGCATTTCAAATCTCATGTTATTCCCCAAGTATGGTATTGCACTCCACTTAAAAAGCAGCCATCTCATGAATAAACATATAAAGCACATATATAAATCATCTTAATCATATTCCTGCTGTTGCTACTCATAACCAATGCATAGCTAATGCTCACCTAATGATGTGAAATATCGCAGAGATGAGGAGTTCGTTATAAATGGCCACTGCCAAGTAGCGAGGCTCGTGGAAAGCAGAGGGCACAGTCCTTACAGCGTAGCACAAATAGACACCCCACAGCAGGAACAGGAACTCCGCTAGAGCAGGAACACAAGGAGACACAGAACAGTGCTGTCACTAATTATTTAGTGTGTCAAGTCTGGGAATGCCAGCTGAAAAGATGTGATTTCACACGGCCTGAAAGGCTGTTTTCCCTCCCTCTCCTCTCTGCCGCATCACTCAAAGTAACACAGAGTCGACGGTGCATGAACATCTCCAAAGCAATGTTTGAGGTAGCAATAACATTACATTTCCGACTGCAAAGTCCCCACCCGGCAAGCATTTTTTGTGTGTTTAAAAAAAGTCGTTTACACTTTAAGGTGATTCAGTTACAGTCTAACTAAAAATTTAGATTATTCTGACATGGTGGCGCTTCACATATAACAGGAATGACACACTTAACACATTATACTTAACATTAAGTACACAAAGTGTTGGTGTTTATTGTGTTAAGTGTCTCATTCTGGTATATGTTATATATTACTATTCACTGAGTAATATCAAATCATTATACACTATATTGTTTACTATATGGTTGGGGTTTAAATGTGTATTATGTTTGGGGACAGTTACATAGTAATTTATTGTAATTACAAAATTAAAGTATTAATTAATTTACCTTAAAGTATTCATTCACTCATTCATTCATTTTCTTTTTCGGCTCAGTCCCTTTATTAATCTGCGGTCGCTACAGTGGAATGAACTGCCAACTTATCAAGCATCCAGCATCCATACACACTCATTCACACTCATACACTAAGGACAATTTAGCTTACCCAATTCACTTATACCACATGCTTTTGAACTTGTGGGGGAAACCAGAACACCCGGAGTTAACACACGCGAACATGCAAACTTCACACAAAAATGCCTACTGGCCCAGCTGAGGCTCGAACCAGCGACCTTCTTGCTGTGAGGTGATGGTGCTATCTACTGTGCCACTGTGCAGCCCTAAATTATTATCAAAAGTATTATCAAAGTAAATCTAATAGACATCTAACAGACATATAAACAAAAGAGCTTAACATGCTAAACACATGCAAAGTGAAAAATACACATCAGCAAATTAATAATAATAATTATAATAATTATAATTCTTTGCATTTGTACAGCGCTTTTCTGGATACTCAAAGTGCTTTACACAATTTTGGAGGGAATCTCCTCATCCACCACCAGTGTGCAGCATCCTGCTGGATGACTTGACAGCAGCCAAATTGCGCCAGAGGAGGAGACAGAGGAGACAGAGACCCAATCCTAATTCTATTTTTGTACCCCTACCCCTTTCCCCTCTCTTTTCCCTTGGCTCTTGAAACACAGTGTAAAGGGGAAGGGCTTTCTCCGTAAGAAAAAAAAAATTACCCTTAAGAAATGGGACAGCACTACCTGCACACATCATCATATGTCATTGCGATTTCTTGCTACATATGAGATCAACTGCGGCGACTGCTGTAGTTTTTCCAGTTTTCCAAGTCACTGAAGGCTTATATCATGTTATCATATTGATATAATGTGGCAATAAGATCGTAACTGTTGTGTATTTACACCGTGGCCGTATTCATCTATGTAAACACACAAAAACAGCATTACATTATAGCAGACACTGTAAAAAAGCTAATTCCAAGCCACTAGACCAGGGGTCTCAAACTCAATTTACCTGGGGGCCGCAGGAGGCAAAGTCTGGGTGAGGCTGGGCCGCATAAGGGATTTCACAAAAAAAAGTCCTCAAATGTCATTATTAACAGTTTTAGTTATTTCTTCTGAACATGAAGTGTCCTGAACATTAATAGAACATTGAGTGAAGATTATGAACAGTTCTTCTGAACATGGCATCTTTTGCCTACTCCTTGCTGCCAGAGACTTGACAGCGCTTCTTCTCACAAATCTGAACCACATTTGGCTTTAGAGCGGAAGCAGTTGAGACCCTCAGTATGGCTTGAAGATGATCATCATTAAGTCTAGACCTGTACTTTGACTTATTGAAGTCCTAGGGAAAAAAGTGGGGGAACTCACTTAAAACTTCCATTCCCTCACCTAAAAAAAAGGCATATATATGTATAAATAAAACACCCCCACCCCACTCCAGTCACATCAGTCTGTACCAGTCTGTATCTACCTATAATATCAACACAATCTCACGGCAATTCTTAACTTTTTCATTTAGTGGCTAATTCGTATGAATTCGTACGATCTAATTCGTACAATTTAGTACGATTTGCTTATCCCCCAATGACCGTTGGGGTTAGGGGTGTGGTCAGGTGCCACGCCTCCTTTTTAAAATCGTACCATTTCGTACGACTGAACTTGTACGAATTCGTACGAATTAGCCACTAAACTGGCAAAACGTAAAATACTTACGTTTTCTCGTGAGATCAGGCTGATAATATATATAAGATGCATAGCAGGCACGTGCACACATAGGGCTCGACCTGTGCAGAGCACATGCCCTTTTTAGTCTTGCATAGAAAGTGCCTTCCAAAATGATCAAAAGTGCGCCCGCGACGCGACACACCCTCGGTCCCGCCCTTCAGTAGGCGCGCGATAACACCGCTCTTGAGTACGCGCGCGACAACACAGCTGATCAGAAGGCGCGTGACAACGCACATTGAGTGACAAGCGCGCTGTGTACGGATAGAATCAGCGGAGCGGGGAGCGCTCTCTCTCCCCGCTCCGCTGATTCTGTCAGTGTACAGCGGTCGGCGCGGGCCACAAAATATTGCACTGAGGGCCGCAAATGGCCCGCGGGCCGCGAGTTTGAGACCCCTGCACTAGACTTTTCTGACAGGGGATTTGAGTGTCATCTAGTTACAGAATGTTGTGGGACTGCTATACAGGAGTTACTATTGTGGGTTATAGGTAGCTAAATTTAAAACACCAACGTTATATGGATGTATTAAAACATATGCTGGTTTGTTGTTGTTTAATAATAACATAAAATACTAATTTTTGCATCTCCTGACTTCTGTGTGCAGCCAATGCTGCCGTTGTAGCTAGTGTGTTCTGGGAAATTTTCTTAACCACTGGTGTCAAGTGTGGTGCTGAAAAACCTCAGTTTTAAGATCTAGCCCATCCCCTTAACCCTACGCCTTCAAGCTAAAGAGAATTGGGACAAGGGTAAGGGAAAATGCTAGTGGTAGAATAGGGATTGGTCCAGAGAGATGAAGCCAATTATGATATGGGGATGGTTAGGATGCCATGATGGAGGCCAGTGGGCAAATTTGGCCAGGATGCCTGGGGTTAAACCCCTCCAGGGGTTTTTAAAGACCACAGAGAGTCAGGACCTCGGTTTAACGTGTCATCAGTTAGCGGCGATCACTGAACAGTACAGAGTCCCCATCTACTGGGGCATTAGTACCCACACAGACTACAGGTTGAGCGCCCCCTGCTGGTCTCACTAACACCACTCAAATTAAGAAAACATCTTCTTTGGTTTCACTACAAACATGTTGCCAATCCACACAATGTAAACAAAGGGTTTGAAAAAAGAGGGTGAATGAACTACAATTTTATTTCTTTTACATTTCTTTTCTTAAATTTCTAAACAGAGTATCCCTTAACTATCCTAGCTGTGTCCTGAAGGAACAAATTAGCAACAAGTTTTCCATGTCTGTTTCGCCAAAATATCCTCTCCCTTTGTCATTCTTCTACTCAAATTTAGCTCACTGATGATGATATAAGAGAGAATGTCTTAGTGTGAGAGAGTTTTAATGGCCGTCTCTGGTTCCCTCTGTGCTTCCTGTTGTAAGCAGAAGGTAGTGGAGCTGTCAGAGAGAACTGTCTCTGCATCACTGGCCACGTCTCACACCCTCATGCCTTAAAGGCTGTCTGGACACACTCAGATGATCAGATTATATTTCCCACTTATATTTATATTTACTTATATTTCCCTCTTCTGTCAAAGTTGCTTCCATAACCCTGAGAGTCCTATATTCTTGCCTCATTTTCCCTTTTGTTTCAGGCTGCTGGAAAGCAAGCCTTTGAAGATAAAGACCAAGCATGCTTTGTGAGAAAAATACAGTATAATGATCATTTTCTTTTCATTATAGATCTATTATTTATGTGTATTAGCAGTTAAATGCATATTTTCTGTAAAATGAGACTACAAGCATGCATTACCCAACTACTACTGAAAAAAAGTTGACCCCCCATTAGTCAATGTATAATTTGCACACTGTACCGATTTACAACAAATGATGGTAAACTTATAAAAAATATACAGTATATGATTAATATAGGCTCCTTGGCAAAGGTTGGGGCCCCCTTATTTCCCAGGGCTCTAAGCGGCTGCTTACCTTGCTTGTTGGTTAAGTTCGCCCCTGAGCTTAGCTTAGCATAGATCACTGAATCAGATTACACACTTAACATATCAGCATCTTAAGAGTTTCAATAATTTTCATATTTAAAGCTTGTCTATTCTGTAGTTATATTGTGCATTATGACATTAAGCTACAGGAAGTAAAAAGTTGCTTTTATAGGCCACTATGGCTGGAAACTACACTCTCATTCTAGAGTAATAAAATAACAGAGCACAATAAACATTGCTGTCCTACACTTGCACCACTATTTAGAATCTCTGTTTTTAAATTGCTCCTTTAATAAAACAATTTCTTCTTTTTAAATTTTAAAAATATACTTTATAATGTGACACAAAGCAACATTTTTATCATCATTACCCCTGTTCACAGTTAAATTTCTGATCAAGAAAAAAAAACTGTTCGTAAAACTGTCCGCTTAATATTATAGCGAAAAAAATTAGTTGAAGAAATTGTTCTTATCATTGACAATAACAAGAACTAATATCAATAATTAATAACCAATTATAACTCATTGCCAGGGCCAGACAGAATTTGCAAACAGTTTTATTTCTGCGCATAATTGTGTACAAAATTTGAGGATTTATGTGGAATGATTTTGAGAGTATAGTAACTAAAAACTTAACATGTGAAATAAAAAATAAAAAACGATTGATTAGAAAATCAGCATTTTAGAACAATTTCTTAAAAATAATAATAATTTCTGGTTGAAATCAGGCTACAAATTTAGATTTCATTTTAAAATGCAACACATTGAGTTAAATTAATACTATTAAACTATTTTACAATATTTCTGTTTTCACTACACTTTAATCATCCTCAGTGAGTAAAAAGAGACTATTTTAAATATATTGAAGTAGCTGACTAACAATGTTTAAACAGTAGTTGGACTGTATAGACAAAACATTAGACTACTCATGTTGTGACACTGATCCATTTATACATTTTGACCTTCTAGATGTATTTTGCTCTCTGTTGCTGGTTCAAGCAGAATAAAACCAAGAATAAGAACTGACCCGCAGCCATCATGTAGTCCCAGCTGTCCAGTAGGCACATGCTGAACTGCAGGCCCTCTGGAGTGACACCGATGTCAATGAGGGCATGACGTGTGTTGTGGTTCTGACATACGGCAGAGGTCCACGCCGCCAGGAACCACATGACCACCAGCAAAATCACAGCAAGCAGACGCAGAACCCTCCAGCTGGTCATGTAGGGAATTCGCTGGGCCGTCCGTGACAGAAACACCTTTAAAACCCTTTGGTGTGTGATAGAAAGACAAGACACAAATATAGCAGTCAGATATATGACCATATACAAAGAAATTGTTTTGTAAATGTATTGAAAGAAATCTATTGCTAATGTATTTGTTCATCCAAAATACAGTAAAAGTAATATTGTCATTACGATAATTTTTCAGCCACAGTTTATATTAGATGTCTATAAGTAGTTTACTGCTAAGGACTACTGAACCATTCTGGAGGACCCATGGTTCAAACATTATATCCTGAATGCGGTGCTGTGTATTAGGATGATAATGCCGCAATACACACAGCAAGACTTCTGACAGAGTGGTTTGATGAACGTGAAAGTGAAGTTGAACATCTCCCATGGCCTGCACAGTCACCAGAACTAAATATTATTGAGCCACTTTGGGTGTTTTTGGTGTTTCTGCAAAAACAGTGGCTCAACATCCTTCTAGCCACTGTTCAGGACTTGTATCTTTCATTACCAAGACAAATTGATGCAGTTGTGGCCACAAAACGAGGTCCTACACCATACTAATGAATTACTGTGAACATCTTCCATGGCCTGCACAGTCACCAGAACTAAATATTATTGAGCCACTTGGGTGTTTTTGGTGTTTCTGCAAAAACAGTGGCTCAACATCCCTCTGGCCACTGTGCAGGACTTGTATCTTTCATTCCCAAGACAAATTGATGCTGTAGTAGCCACGAAACGAGGTCCTACACCATACTAATGAATTACTGTGATCTAAAACCAGCTATTTCAGTATCTCTGTTCAACGCATTTAGGTGCTATCCCAGCAGGCACACATCTGCATAAAATGTTAATATTAGGTTAGATATAGGTCATGACGTTAGGTGACCAAAAGTCAATGTCTAGCCAGCATCCAACCATTTCCTAACAAAACCCAATGTCCCCATGAAATTGGGGTATTGGTTAACGTCATGTGCCTGCCGGGATGTAGCACTTAAAGTGGTTCCCTTATGATTACAAGCCAATGAACCAATTTTGGTGCTACATTGTTTACAGCCACATTTTTCTCATAAGTCACATGCACTTGTTAACTTTATATTTAATCTAAATACTTAATTAGTCAGTGTAAGCTGACTTTTATTTTTTTTATATAAAACAGTTCCAACCAGTATCTGTGATCATTCTTTTCTTTTTTACAGTGAAAGCAGCAATATTCGTACCTGTAAAGTTTGAGAATCACTGTTCCATAGACAATGGCAAATCCAAGCAAACGGACCCATCTCAGGAGAATACACCGGAATACACTTGGATTCAAATACTGTATCATTACCTGATAAGACAATGTAAACATAAAAATGAAGTTATAATTTCTTCTTTATACATTATTAAGGACACAGAAACACATTAGAATATCACTGATGCTTTTCATAAAACATAGAGTTGGTGGCTCATCAATAGTTCATCTCATGATACCTGTCAAAATAATGACACATTTCATTCAAAATTAAGGAGTAAAAACAGAAAAAAAAGTAACATATTTTAGAAATATTAAGATTATTATTTGTAAATGCACAATTCCATTTCAAATTCTCATTTTTATAACATAATGTGTACAAAAGGTGTTATTTCAATTCAAAAACATTTAAAGTTCCTCTCAGTCTCTTTGGTACATTTCTCAGATCAGAATTGAAATTTGCAAAACAGTAAGCGCATTTCTCAAAACGACATGTACAAATAGCAAAATTCCATGGATTACCTGCAAAAGCCAGTATCTTGCTCAAAATCCCTATAGTTTATCTCTTAAAACGACATTTCTGTGTCAATGAATGTGTCAGTGCTGTCAGAATGACAAGTCCTTGTGTTATTGTGTACAAAAAAGACAGTCAAATGACTTGCTGTTTTGTTGTCAATATAACAATGTACTCTGGAGGGCTGTTCTGATGTAAACTATTTTTTTTGTTGTTGTTGTTGCTGCTGTTTGTACTGTAATTTGTTGCCAGATCATGTCATTGTAATACAGAAGGGAAAATACAGCACTGGGGTGCATTTTCCAAAACCATCATTTGCCAACTAAAGGCCACAAGCTCGCTGTAAGCTTGCTAAAGCACTCATCAGAAAAATAATGAAAACACAGGACAGCGCTTGGGCTGTAATGCTAAGGTATTTTGCAAAAATAAACTTCAACCACTGACTCTTTACAGCCTTATCTATGGGTAGGGAAAATAACACTACAGTATATTTTACACACTACAGAGCACATCGTCTATATGACTTAATTCGATTGGGGTCTGCTACAGTTTTTTTTTGCTACAGTGTTTGTGGCGGGCCGGGAGTTTAAATTTTCCAGAGTTTGTGCGCGCAACAAATGGGTGAGGCTTGAGTTTTGTATCAACGTCAGGGTGGCACGACTAAAGACTCGTTACAGCAACGATTCATTCATACCACTATGAGTCGACTCTTTTATACATGAATCAATAGTTTTGAACACGATGCACTTTCAGATTTAAATATTAGCTGGAATTTTCACTTCACTGCATGGAAGGTCATTTTCAAAAATCCATAATATGGGCTCTTTAAATGAACAATTAACAAAAGGTGTTCTTTCAATTATAACACCTTGCATTAAGATACTACCTGTTATACTGCCATTACAATATAAAAATACAAATATTTCATACAGTACTATTATTTCCAAATTCTTAACAAGCTGGACATGTTTTCATGAGTTTTACACAGATATAGTTGTCACAAGAACCAGCGATCTTACTCTATTGATTGCTGGTTCTCACTAACCACAACCATGGACTACACTTCTGCCTTTTATGGACTACATATTCAGACATGCACTCCGGTCACACTCACACATGTCTTCTCATCTAGACTGATTACTTGCACCACCTGAGGATTGTCAAAGACTGATTGCAGACACTACTTAAGTCACACAATCACCCTTTCACCCTGCCGAGTCTTGTTTATCCTGTTATGACATCACAACGCGTTTACCTTGTCTTCTTTTCCCGTGTTTTGACCCAGTCTTGTTTATCCAGTTCTCCCTGCCTGCCGCCTGCCTCTAGACCTATCGCCTGTTTACTGTTTATGATTCTGGATTATCTACACATACTTGTTTGTACCTGTATTGACCACTGCTTGCATGAAAACGAATAAACCTGCATATTGGATCCAAACCTCCAGTTGTGTGTGTCATCCCCCGTCATTACAATAGTGTAAAATATCTCAAACTTTGATGTGTTTTCCCACTATTAGTTAATTGCTGGCAAACCTCAATTCTAATTCTTAAAACCCCTCTTTACCTCACAAATATATTCATGTTATAATATCTTGTGAATGAAGCATAAATACAAGCCCTCCAGATTGTCATGGTTTAATGCTTGTTCTTTATCCTTCAGAGCCTGTGAAGTGCTCCCTGAATTCCTCATTATCTGCTAAGCCTGGTGTCCCTTTTGTTCAGTGCCTGTCTTATGTAAAGCAGCAGAATTAAATAAATATCGCCGCCGACTGATGGAAAGATGCATCTGTTCTCGTCTCCCCTAGGAGATTCACCAGTGCAGCTTTCCAATCCACAGTCGTCCTTTTAAATATGCAAACAGCAAAGCGGCCCCTTCAGTGTAATCAAAGAGCTTCTCACCATGAGGAAGAAGACTCAATTAGCAGAACTTCTCCTCTCTGAAAAATACACCAACACATGCCTTTCACGCTCATTAGGGTGGTGAAAAGCTGGATAGAAATAAGTCAGTTCGCATTACTCTTACATTTAGCGAAATGTCCACACAAGAAACGACTCCAACGCTGAAAAAAAAAGTAGGAAAAACATCTTTGCTGTCTGATGTTCTAGCTCTGCTTTAAATGCTTATTTAAGATGTACAGAAATATTTACCAGTTAAAATGCTATTTTGGATTTATTATTCATGTCAAAGTGTGTGAAAAGAAAGCTATTCCGCACACTATCAATACTTGCTGGACGATTTATTAAATGAACTGTAATGTATTCAGCTTTTTCAATAGTCAAAGTCAGACGTAAATCAGCAGATTTGTTAGTTGGCTTATGTCGCAGTCACACTAGAGTTTGAGCATGCAAAATTCTGTCGCTTGGCACTGTGAAAAGGGCTTGTGTTTCAGATCTGTAGCATTTTGGTGAGTATGAATGGAAGTCTATGGGGCAAAAAGTGCAGTGTGGCCGCGGCTTTAAGAGTGGAAACCTTCAACGCTGTCATGACAATTTGTAACTTTTCGCTTCATAGACTTCTATTCAAAGATAGGTTTAGGGTTGGAGTTTGGTGCTAGGATTTTTGCATTGTTTTGAGAAAATTCATTCTCCCAGTTTGAAAATAAATGTTGAAGCTACTTCACAACAATGAGATCTCTGTGTAAATTCCAGCGTGGAAACTGGTTGTCTGTACCGGTCGGTACAAAGTGACGTTATTGAGTATTCAGCATTAATTCACGAAAAAGACTTGGTTCGAACCAATTGGCACATTCTATTGTGAATGAGATGCAACTTCATTAATTTTCATGATATAGCTTCAAAGGCTCTTTTTTTTTTTTTTTTTACTTGTTACAGTGTTTAAAGAGATGGCATTTTGTGTTGCCAACTGTAATTCAAACAAGTAGAAGAATAATTGTTGTAGACGTCAGTGTTGCATTTACAGTATAAATATGCCACAACAAAGGTTATGTTTCCAATTCCCTGCAATGAAAACACAGCTGGCGTGTGGACCCACATGTGTGGATTACAGTGGTCTGCTAACATGCAACAAAAATATATTTTTAAGGAAGCTTTTTTACCCGAGAGCTTTTCGCAATTGGAAATGGTAAAATCCGGATTCACAACTCATCTTCTTTTAAAAAAAGATGCAGTTCCAATTTGTGTTGATTGTCCTGTCTCTACGGATTTGGTAAGTGTGTGATCAGTGTAGTGTACTTTGTTTATGTTTCTCCAGACGGCAAAGTTAGTTAGTATCGTCAGCAGTACTCTTTCAGTTTTTAAAGACATTACTTAGTAAAATGACTGAAGTAAGTATAGTTTACAGTAGTATCACTACAATATTACTAAAAATGCTTTTATTGGTGTTTTTTTTAAACATTAGTTACATCCGTCGTCTGAACCCAAAGTGTTGAAGTGGGTTGCCAGACCGATGTTTTCACAACAGATGTAGCATGCTAATATTACAACAGAGTTAACTAAGATTACAACAGTCCACTTTTTCAGAGCAGTGCAGTATTTGTGGCAGGCACAATGGTTTATTTATTAGTTATTTGATTATTTCAACAAATACAGTTGGAATAATAACTACTATTGCGAGACTTTAATATTCGCCTTGTCAGGAATATCTTTACTTTCTCCTGCATTCAGGGCATGTTTGTGTTGAAAGGTTAAAAATGATAAGGCAGTGGACCTGTACTATCATCAACTAAATAATATGACTGAGGAAAATCTGGTGGAGAAAAATCCTGCACTTTTTTTACACTTCTCAGATCAGCTGTATACGCTGCTCTCTGAATTGCTGCTCTCCAAATCGCCATCCATCTTCCCTGCATCTCTATTTGGGTTGCTGCACGTAATGAAACTCTCCGTTTATTGCTAAATTTCATCACATGACACTGTGAAAAGGGGCTGAATTGATCAAAATCATCAGACATAAAAAAAAATAATAAAAAAACAAGCGAATGGTATATATTTTACATTTATGTTCAGAGGAATCATTTTGATCTTCAGTTGGTCTCAGTCACATGATGCAATTTGACAGGTCAGAGTTTATTAAGCTTGAACTTTGCAACGTAGAGAACAGCGACACTGGCCGCATGGGCTTGGTTTCCGGTCTGCTGCGTTTGCGTTCTTTTGTATGGAAGTCTATAGGGGAAAAAGTGTGGTTGACTATAATGTTAGGAACATGTTTAATTATTTTTGTCTTTTTTTCTTTTCATCAAACAATTACTTATTGGTCATTTCAAGGGTCATATATTAATTGAACGTCTACTGTTGTGTGTGGGATGCTGTGCTAATTAGCATTTTTGCTAATTAGTAGATGAATGCTGGTCTAAAAGTAAATTCAGCACTGCAGAAACTTCATGTCTAAAGAAAGGTGTTAAAACTGAACACAGAACACATGAAGTTCTATGCTTTTATTGTAGATTGTATTCTAAAAAAAGAGGACTTATGTGTAACGGAGAGTCTGAAACAGAGGGATCCATTTGCAGTATATTTATTAAACACAGTTTAATAACAAGCACACAGTATGCACTAGTGTGCGAACTCGCATCAAACACAGTAGTAGAAGGTCGATAGGCTGGCGGCTGGCATTCAGGGATTGT